AAGCCTTCTTATCTAGTTGTAGAGCTGCCTATGCTACACTGTGCAGACATGGGGAATGTTTAAAATGTTACTACTTAATGTAAGGCACTCATAGAATTAATAGTACTGTTGAAGCTTGTTGCGAGTACAGAAAAAGTGATTCATGTCTTTCTTGATTATAGATGTAAGACAATTTGAAAATTAATACATTATAGTGCATACCCAGACAAATCGACTATTCATTATAGCACAGTCTTTTATTTCATTTTCAACATGATATTTAGGGAAATGACTGATTTATGTCACTCTCTGTGTTGTTTGTCAATCTCTGTGGGATTTTGAGTACTTCCAAAAGCTTAAAAAGGAGATAAGACACTCTTTTGCCCTAATGGCAAAATATTTGAATTTGATCAAAAGGCAAAAAAAGCCTTTGTATGCATGACATCTCCTTGTATTGTTTTTCTTAATATGATATCTCTTATTTGTTATTAAAAGTATTTAACATGAAGATCAATTAGCTTCTTTTATGAATCTAACCTACCTACCTTTGTTGTTAACAAACTATTTAATATATGTAATTTTATTATATAAATTTATCTTGCTACAATTCAATTGTCTTATCAGAGGCATAATTGATGTAATTCTCAATTGTAAGCCCTCCTTTAAATTTCACTGTGCTGCAGTTTAAACTTTTAAAGCTTAGGGGATAAAAAAACCTTTCAAATAAAAATCACTAGTCATTTGATGTTTTCAAGGATAAACTTTTAATTAATGTGTGAAAAATAGTTGAATAAAATAATAAATAGTGTAAATATTCTTTGGTATATCAACTATTTTAAAAAGGATGAATATACAGATCACATATAATATATACAAAAATACATTTCAGCTTTTATGTTTTATATTGTCTTAATACACAATATTATCAGTTATTCTTATTTGTATAGTATTCTTTTTTTACTGAATTACATATCTTAGTATCCATTTAACTATAAGTGGAATTATAGTTTATAATTGGATAAAAGAATAAGTCCCCAAAGTATATACAATTTATATCCATAGGGCATTTACACTAAAGTCAGTACTCTACTAAATTCTTGCTCATTAAAATTTTTCTCATAATTTTCTGGGGTGAGAAAAATCCATGTAAAATGTTTAACACTGAAATTGGCACAAAGAAATCACTCAATAAATGTTATCTAGTAGTAGTAGGCAACTTATTAGGCAAATTTTTATATTTCTGAATTAAAATCTGAAGATTTAATAGCACATTTGCTAAAGGTGAGCCTTTTATCTATATAATTTCTTAATTATTCACATGTACATCACCAATAATTATGACATATTTGAAGTGGTTTTCAAGACTATATCCTTATATTTATATCTCTGTCTGATAATGGAATTGGCTCACTGATAAATGCTGAAATTATTCACTGAGATTCTCCCAGATCTTAAAGTCAGCACTTCATATAGCATATATAATGTAACAATATTTAATAATAATGTATAACATGCATATAATTGATTATATGTTTGGATAATATTACTTTGTTTCTACAAGAAATTATTCTAAAATGGTAAGATATTCCATGATATATATCCATATGTTCTTTCACCTATAAAGGCTGATTTGCACTTTGAAAGTAAAATTTGAAAGGACTCTATTATACAAAATAACTTTTAGCAGAAATGAGAATATATTTTGGATTCTATTTAGATGTAGGCAAAAGAGTGTTTGAGAAAGAGTGACAAGAAATTCAAGTGTATAGTACACAGTCATGAGGAAAAATAAAGATACATACAGCTAAATATCAATAGGGAACACTTTCCACAGAAATTTAACAACTCAGCTTCGACTTCAAGAAGTTTAAAATAAAAGTGTTTCCAATAAATGGTTAAGAGCTGTTAAAGTCCAACAAAATTTATGAAGCAGGACATCACCCTCTACAATTTCAAAGTAAATGGGCTGAAGTAGGGAAATAGAAGTTTGTAACCACAGAGAAGTTCTGTGAAAATCAGAGACTGACATATTTATCAATTACTTATTCTACATTGGATTTTCAACTGAACTGCAATGCATATTCTAAGGGAGTCTCTGATTCAGGATATGTAAGTGGGGCAATAATTCTACACTTTAACAAATTTTCCAAATTGTTCAGATGCATGTGATCCAGTATTGGCAGTTTGAGAAACACCAATAAATGCACAAAGGTCACTAATACACAGAGACCTCATCAATTCTAATACAGAAGGGCAAAGTCCTAGGAAACTTTAGAAGATGAAGAAAATAATTAGTAAATGATTAAATAAAGGGAGATGAAATGAAAATAAGTGAGATCAGATGTTAGGATCATTTTGGAACAAAAAAAGACATACAGATAGAAATTTAGATGAAATGTCCAGATTCATGCAGATCAATTTTACTGCAGCATGGATAGGGACCAGAGATATGGTCTGAAGTAATAATGGTACGGTAACTGTATCCAAAATGCAACGAGGTGGAGAATGGGATTTGAAATTTCAAACTAAGTTTTCTGGACTCTGAAATACCAGTTGACCTTGACAGTATCATTGACCATCGTTAAATAAACAAATGCTTGTAGGTACTGCCTCTGTATAATGTTATGCAGTGTTGCACATTGTGGGATAGGATAAATGAAGCGCATCCCTCCAGAAAATATTCTCTGGAGCCGGTGAATATGTTATGTTACATGGCAAAAAAAGACCTTGCAAATATAATCAAGTTTAAAGACTTTAGCATAGGGAGATTAACCTTGATTATCCAGCCGAGCCCAATCTAAACACACAGGCTTTAAAAAAAACAAGAAATTTCTCCAGCTGAAGAAGGACATGTGTTGGGGGAGAAGGTAATAGAAAGATGCATCAGAAGGGGAAGTCAAAGAGATTTCAAGCATAAGAAGGATTTGATGCCCCAGTTGCTAGCTCTCAGGTATGGGGTCCATGGACAAGGAAGAGAGATGCCTCTAGGAGGGATGGGCCTTAGCCTTTTCCAGAGCCTTCTGATAAGAGCCCAACCAGCCAACATTTTTATTGTAGCTTTGTGGGACCCTGAGCAGAGAAACTAGCAAAGACTACCAGAACTTCTTAGCTACAGAACTGTGAGATAATACATTTTGTTGTTTTCTAAGCTGCTAAATTTGTGGTCTTTTGATATGGTAAAAGGCACTCATGACAAATCAATACCTGAAGATATTATGCAGCATGAATGTCAAAAATACCTGGATTCCTAGTATGTTATATTTTAAGTCAGGACCTTCCAAATACACATTTAAATGTCATGAGGAAATATGAATCCATTTTCACTGAAGCAGAAAAGACAGACATAAATTTAATGTTGTATACATAGAGTAGAAAGCTATGAAAATATTTATAAGTATATTTCATGAAACTTGACAATCAAACCAGGAAACCTGGCAACTTCATAATTCATCTTCCAAGTTATGACATTTTCAGTTTACTTAGTACCTACTGAAAGAATAAACTAACCTAAAATGTCTATATACTTTGAAGAATAGAGTACAGGTTTTCTATTAAATAGCCTTTAATAGAAAATTAGGGTATTACTAACTCCTTCAATATTGCCAAAATTGTATTTTAATTAAGCCTTTATGTTTGTTGTCTTTTTAACTATAAATTAAGTTGCCAAGATCAAATTTTTCAACTATTGTAAAAGCACTTTAGAAGAATAACAATCATTACTATCACAATGGAGGAAAATAAGTCTTGGAATGCATCCTCCTCTGCTAGAAAAAAGACAGTTCAGAAATGTATTAAGTAGAAAAGAGTGTTCCAAACTGCTACACTATGGCATTATTTAAGATATTAAAAAGGAGAAAATATTTTTATTCAATTGTTTGCTAGAGGGTATTTTTTTCTAGTGAGAAAGATAGCACTAGATGAAATGTTTAGTTTAAAACTTTCCCCACAGCTAACCTTTATACTTAAGCAATTCTATTTTATATATTGTTTTTGAGTGTGCTCATTAAACACATTTTGAATTATTATGTGCTTTAGGAAGAAACCACCCCTGCTACTGTATTTGTACATATCTTACAATGATATTATATCTGGTGCAATACATGTGGTAATATGGTCCAGGGATGGTGAGGTGAAAACTGCTATGGTATCCTTATGTTAGGGATTCTTCCCCAAATTAGGGGAAATTTTATGTCAAATCACTTAGAGAAATGGCAAGTCCTTGACCCCCATCTAAAACTCCTGGGAATAGAGTATTTTTGCTATCTGATTTTGTCACGTCTTGAGTAGGGGAAACACGCAGATTCTGTACATTTTTAATACCGTCAGCAGAACCTGCGGTACCACCCCCATTATCAAACAATGTTTGCATAACGAAACATAGTACCCACACTATGAGTGGTAAAGATTAAAACAGTCCTCCATTCAGTTCAGGTTAGGTTTTGATGCCAAAGTAATTTGTATCAAACTTCCAGATAAAAACCTTCAGTTTCAGGAGCTTTTCCTCTTTGTGGTTAAGGGATTATGGCTCTGTGGAACTGGAAACGCTGGTTTAAAATGGAGAAACGTCAACCCTTTCTCTTAATGGATTTTTCTCTTAATTCTGATTCGCAGAGAAGACATATTACCAGTTTATTTTCTGGCAGAGGGGCAAAATGCAGAGAATAGGGTAGGGTCTGTGATGCTCTAACCTCAAATCAGGCTTAGTTTCCTGGTCCTCTCACATTTCCTTTCCTTTTCTTAATGTCTAGCCCTCTATGATTTCATGGTCTCATCCCATAAGATTTAAGGAAAAGATTATTTCCTCCATCTAGGCCCACTGCAATGAAACATTAAATCTACCAATTCTAGCTTTTTATCACATATTAATGATAAATGAGAAAGTAAATCTCGGGACAGGATTTGAGGTAACAGGATGAACTGTATCTTCCCTCCTGGTGATTCTTCTTCCACTTGCACCCTGGAGCATTTCAGTTTAACCACCTTGAACTGGGCAGTCGTCCTTTTATATCACCATCACTTACCTTCATAATATACTTTAAAACCATGAGCACTAACTGCGAAATCACTGGTCAGACGTAGTGAGAACACAGACTTGGTGCTTGTCACTGGTGGTGGCAGGTGGAATCCCGTTAACCTAAAAACACAAATGGAATTGTCAGAGTTGTAGATGTTTTACCTAGTAGTGTTAAAAGAGCATTTAACACCATTTTGGCAAAGGACCAAGCTTTGTATGCTTGTGTACATGTGTGTATGAATATAGTTATGACACACTGATTAGAAATCATTCATCCAAAGCAATTACAATAAGTATATATTAATAAACATTTATTTACATATGTATGTGTGTGCATTATTGTTATATCTGTCACATAAATCATCTATATTAAAATAGATTAATTCGAACTTTAGGAAATGAGTTCTGGGAGTATGTGTATGTATTTTAAGCTGTTGGTTTTAACAGTTGAAAATAAGTAAGACACTTTTGTCAAATTATTTTCCTCATAGTTAAGAATATATTTAAGTGTAGGAAGTATTTAGTGAAATTTGACATCAAAGAAAGAGGTGTTATCCAAATATGAAATTTTGATAATGAAAAATCTACAAATGAGAAGTGATTTAGCAGATTCCAAAGTTCTAGTAAGTTCTATTAAATTAATAGTTGCAAATTATTTTTGGCTATAAACACTTTTCATTATATTTATCTGATATTTTTGCCCATAATTTATTTTTATTTTTCTAATAATTTATATGGTTACAAGCTAAATTGTATAACTATCATGTAATTATATATTATAATTGACACTTTTTCTAACCAGAAAAAAAAAATTAAAAATGAGAAAAAGTGTATTCGTGGGATATAATTTTTCTAAAACTAATGAAGATAATTTTTAAATTTTCTATGAATATACTATATTATGTTATACTTTTTTATTTTTATGAACTTATGTTATTTTCTCCTACTTTATTACAGTGTAAGACTAAGAATTAAGGATTTTATTTAAGGGAGCTATACTGTTATTCCTTATATATATATGCTTACAATTTTTTCCTAGCATTATATATATGATTAGTCTATACTGAAATTACCATGTATTTTCACTGCTCTATGGCAATAGTTCTCAAGTTTATCTTAGATCTGCTTATACTCTAAAAAATTACTGAGAACCCCAAAGAGGTTTTGTGGGTTTGATCTATCAATATTTATCCTATTTAAAAATAATCAGAATAAACCTATGTTAGCAGAAAAAGTATTTCAATGTAAGATAACTATATTTCCCAAAACAAAAAATGAGGAGAATACATTGTATTCTGGTTTTGCATATCTCTTTAATATATGGCCTGTTAGTAGAAAGCAGCTGGATTCTCATATCTGCTTCTTTATTCAATATTTTGCAAAAGTTATTTTGTTTGATGGATAGGAGGAAATCTGGCCTTACTCAGATATGTAGTTGGAAAAGGGAAGAATATTCTAATAGCTTTCAGCAGATAAAAGTGGATAACTCTTTGAAAGTACACAAAAACTTTATGTTGCAATGCTGAATTTGAGAGCTATGTCAATTAATTTTTGGTACTCTGTAACATTCAAATATTACTTCACCTTGCTCTTATAATGGATCATTGTTGCTCAGGCATTTTTTAAAATCATGCATTACTCTTTTGAAATTTATTTGTTCACCTAATTAAAGAGATCTTCCACATGTTGAAGCATTTCATTACAATGTATCAAAAAATCACATTTATTTTTATTGCTACCCAACTCATCAGCTGAGTCTTTAAACTTGTTTAAGCTCTAAACCTTACAGTGATGGATTAAAGTTTTCCAAAATTCTAATTTTTTACTTGAAAACTCAGATTTCATCATTAACAAATCCTGTCAATTGATTTCCTTGAAGTAACACATCAGGTTTTGTGGGGGTTTTTTTGAGAAAATATACACCAAACACAGCAAATACCCAAATGTGACTAACCATAGTTAATTGGTAGCTCTTTCAATCAAAAAGATTGTTCCACAAAGAAAGTGGCTGGTTCAGTTGACAACTGAATCATGTAACTTTTTTCCTGAGATAACCATCATATTTTGGTAGACGTAAGAAGAGTTTTCTTGCATACTTTCCATTTTGCCACGTAAGTCATTAAAAAGAAGGCTATACCCAGTGGACATTTAATGAAGTAATTATACGTTCCACAGGAACATTCTTAAGTACAATTGTATTTTTTTTTTTTGCACTACAAATGTGTGGCAGTAAAGAATACAACTAATGATTACTAGTATAGTCTGAGGTTGCTAAATGAGATGTTTTAATGCACCAGCAGTTTGACCCACCATTACTTCTGTACCAGAGGGCAAATGTTAACATGGTGAAAAAGGTGAATAATATCTCAGTATTATTATGAAAAGAATTTTAATCTTGCGGACCCACTGATAATGTCTCAGGACCTCAAAAATCCATAATCTTATGCACATCTCTTTGAAATATCTTTCAGGATATAACTATATAGTTTTAAAACTTATTTATCAGATACAGCTTATATAATATTTATCTTTTGTATGAATTATAAATCACACTATTTAAATGCCTATGTATGTCCCTTGAACTAAACTCATTTTCTGGGTAATATAAAAGCATAACATTTTATGGATAAACATAATACTTTTTTCCTTAGATTCATTTGTACTGATTCAGATACTTACGAAATTGGGTTTTGTGTGTATTGTTAAATTACCATATTATCAGTTATATCCCCTTCATATTAATGTATGATAAAACTGCATAGGGAATAACATCTTATGTTACTTTGTAACTCTATTTTCCCTAACTTACAATTGAAGAAATCACAGCTCAGAAATGATCAGTTAATTGTTTAAATTCGAACAGCTAGTAGGCAGTGCAGCAAAGATAGAAATCTATAACTTGTTTATTTTCCCACTATGACTTTTCCCATAAGAGAAATTATTTTTCTGTGATGGCAGAACACATATCTAATTTATCTTTGTTTCTCCACAATGGCCGTATAAATTTCTTAACAAATATTTGGAATAGGTAAGAACATGACTTTACCAACATTAAAGCTGTAAGTAGTTGAGGCTGATAAGAACCATATTACAATTTTAAAGTCAACGAATTAAGGGCCTGGAAAGTAATGGGGAAGCACCATCTGTACCTGTTGATACCTTTGCAACAAATATTACCAGTGGTTAGCAAGGATATTTTCCATTAGGGAAAATAAGGGAAATAAGATTAGTAAATATATCAGGGGAAAACCCAAGAATCATACAATGTAATTTCCTTCAGTTATTATTTTTAACAGAAGTTAAAAATTGACGAAGAAGTGGCCAACAAGGATTGGCATGCATTACTTTTGCTAAGTAGTGACTTTGTTTTATGCTGTCACAAGTCAACATTTTCTGTCACCATAAATGTGGTGCTTAGGAAATGCATGTAATCTCAAATTAAAGGACATTTTTTTCCTCTTAACACATTTAGCTTTATGAAAACTCACAACATTTCCTTTATTTTTCATATTTCATTGTTATCTGGTGCATATTTTGTCATGGACCAGGGCTGGTTTATGGCCATTTTCCAAGTAAATTAATGGCCAGGAAAGTAATGTGAGAGAGTGGCACAACATGTTGTTTGTTTTTTCATCTTACATATAATAGTTTCTAGTTTTTAACCCCAACCCTCCCTTCCCTCTAATCTCACATAAACCCTCAATCATATCTTAGCATTTTAATATTTACTGGGCAAACATCCATCAGAGGCTGTTGTATGCTTTAAAAATCACACACTCAAAACAAGTGATCCTGTCACTTTTCATGGCCCCTTTTAGATGATAAATAACATTCTTTAAAGGTTTCCTTTACAAAGACTAAGAAACCTTAATGCTGTTTCAGACTGTAATGAGTAACTAGTTACAGGAACAATTAAATAGTTAACTTGTAACTTTATATCAATGACTATTATAAAAAGTACTAAAATAATTATTTGGTAATTAATGCAGAATTTATGGAAATTTAAATTATAAGAAATCCATTTGAATTGTCAATGCATCCATGCTTTAAATAATAGGCTGTTCATTTAAGGATTTTTTAAAATTAATGACAATTAATGTGCCATTTTACAGCTTAATGGAAATCCTTAAAGCATCAAGGTTGGTGGATAAGAATGATTCCTATCTCATTATGTAAATATGTTTATCTACTTTTAACCATGAGGTATTTTTTTCTGGGGGACTTGAGAATCCAGAATGACTAGATCTATACTATCTCTATAAATGTAATCAAAGTGCTCTTGAAATATGGATATATTTAATGTACCTATCAGCTGATTATGATACTTCAAATTTTTTCTAATTAAAAGAATGAATGTAAAAACCATAGTTTTGAATGAAAAGGCTGTTCCCTATCACTGTTTATAATGAGATAGGGAGAAAATGGACATAGGGAGTGGAAAAAAAGATAGCATTTTTGAAAATTAAAGTAGTAACATTACCAAAATCCCAGGATTTTGTGATTGTTAAATAAGAGAATTCATGTATAACAGCCCGGTGTATTTTCTGGAACCTAAAATGTAGCCAGTAAATGTTATTTTCTTTAACGTTACCACTCAAAAGACACTGCCTTCTGGTCTGCACTCTGTGGCATGCTTCAGCTAAGATAAATTGTATTATAACACCAGCATTCTCATAGTCATTTCACATTGCTCACAGTAAGATTCATGGATATGAATTATCTGACTATTACACTTCGGTTTTACAGTTTTTAAAAATGATCCAAGTGATATACTGGGAATTTGCCACTGAAACAAACTATTAACCTATTTAATTTCAGAATGAATGGAGGAAACCACTGGAACAAGTAGGTATTTAAAGTAATGGCTGTTCTGTGAGAATAAATCATGCATACTCTGTTGATATCAGGGTACATGAAGCACAGAACAATAATTCATGGTTATGTCAAGATGTCAGTAATTGTAATATTAAAGGAAAAGGTGGCCATGGCAATATTTGAATAATTATCACATTTGTTAAGAGTAAATGAGCTGAAGCTGCTATCAAATACAAAATTTCTGAAAAAGGCATGTGTGAGAAAGGCAAATTCAAAATATTAGAAACATGCACTAGGTATAGATC